CCCCCCCCCCCCCCCCGTGGTTTTCGGGGTCCCCGCTCCTCTAGCGGACTCGAAACCACGGAACATGAGCTCACCATAGAGCAGACGTAAAACTGAGTTTTTTCGTCTGCTCTGTGTTATCACTGAGACGGTGCGCTGTGATCACAGCGCCACCTGTCTCAGCTGTCAGGAACTACACAGAACATCAGTTCTGTGTTGGAGGGCAGGTTCCATAAAAAGAACCTGTCACCTCCAAACTATCACTTAGAGGATTTTAAATCCCTATGTGATGGAAATAAAATTAGGTGGGGGGGAAAAAAATAATACAAATTTAAAAAAGTTATGAAAGTACAAAATAATATTTTAAAAAAAGTGACAATGTTAAAAAAAACCCCCCGCTGCCCCCGCCATCTGCATGCAAATAAACACACGCATAGGACATTGTGTATGTGCGTTGAGTGCTGCCGCCATTTCACTGTGCCGTATTGTGGTAGCGAGGCAGCAGAACTCTCCCACACGCACAATGTGCGTTAAAGGGCAAGTTCACTTTCCCAGGTAACATGGGAAAATGGAATTACCTGATCAAATCTGGCCCCCGTCTCTCCCAAAACCCTCCCACCCCCTGGCTATACTTACCTTTCGGCAAACAGTCCTTACCCTCCACCGGTACAGGTGTACACTGAGTACCGACAGCAAAATATCGGTACTCTATACCCAAACACCGGTATTGGTGCATCCCTAGTTTTAATTAAAAATATTTTTTTTTGTTTTGGGACAAGTAGATTGTTATGAAGGACAAGTAGATTTGGCCCCCGCTTTAGCCCTTGGACAAGTAGTTTTTTCAAAAATTTCCACACCCCTGATTATGAAGGTGATGGTCCGGTTCTTTTTGGTACCGGGGCTGCTGGATGTGTAATGTATCTGTCCTTGTTCTGTTTGATTTTTTTTTTTTTCCAAGTGCCTGAATTATTATTGTTTTTCTCTTGAGCATTGCTACAGAGAATTCTCAGTAGGTTTATGCTTAAAGGCTGCTTCTGTCACTAATCATCCATGTTGGTAGGCAGAATCTGACAAAAATTTTGTACTTCTGCTTCACATACTTGATCTAGATTATTTATAACTGCATTCTAAACATTGGTGAGAAGTTGCTAAATTAGATGTGCCACCAGTCAAAAGGCTTGACTTGAAAGTGATGTAAACATGTGCTGAATAACTGTACAGTAGTATGAAGTGGCAAACATGTTTAAGTCTTTTTTGTTTTTGCATTTTTATTACAAATATTTTCATTTAAAATTTTTTATTTTTTTTATAAAATGGACTTCCGTTAATGTTCCTATTTTATATTGGCTTAGGTGTGAAAAGTATGCCAGCAGGAAATGTGTTGCCTATGAAACCCAATTGACTTCCAACTATCATTTCTGCGGAGTATAAACAGATACAAAGATTCTGGTTGTCATGGGCATCAGTACATTTTACAGTTGCCATGGTCAATATATTTCTCGGCTGCCATGGGCATCAATACAATTTATGGTTGCTATGGACATCGGTGCAATTAATAGGGCCTTAGGTAAGTGTCCTGGGGAGTTGCACTCCTGCTCAAAAGTGGTGAGAGAGCGTGTCATCTCCACAGGGCGCGGGAGTGACGCAAGGAAATGGTTACGTTGAAAGTGACGCCAGAAGACCAGTGGGGCCAGGATGGGATCCCTGTCCATGTCGGAGCATGTCTGCCAGCCCGCACCCTGTAGAAAATGAAGTGCCAGTTGTTCCCTGAAAATCTTCTGCAACAATGGCAAAAAATTGAGAGAATATATATCATTCAGGTTCCGTGAGAGCTGGATTCCCAGGTACTTCAGAGAGGATGTAGCCCAAGCGAAGGGAAAGTTACGTTGAAGGCGTTGCGCCTGAGAACTAGGCAGGGTGAGGTTCAAGGCCTCCGACAGTGCGCTCCTCACGCCGCCATGTCCAGGACACGCCCCGTTACCATACTTTTTATACATCAGCCCATTAGTAGCAACTCGACCTGAGTTGAAGTGTATCCCTCTGTTCTTCTATAGAGAAATTTCATTTATCTCCGTATAAATCACCTTCTCTTGTTGCATTTCTAGTTGATCTGAAGTAATACTATATTGAGGGGAATTTATCATAACTGGAGTAGTTTCCATAATAACCTATCAGCTTCTCTTTTCATTTTGTGCAGTTTTGAAAATGAAAGATAGAAGCTCATTGGCAACTGCTCCAGATTCCGTCTGCTCCATTTTTGATAAATTCCCACCAATTAATCTTAATCTGCAGCCTTGATACATTGCTTTGTATAGACTAAGACTGGTCATGATATTAGTGTGGGAAATGCCATTGCTCAGATTAAGTCTGGCAAGTTTTTAGCTTTCAGCTGCCTGATCTCAACCACTGCTATCTTCTGAGTGTGTAGTATTTCAGGTGATGCAGTTGTATGGCAGCATCTGTCAAACTTCAGGTGATCTCTGACCCAGCCCCAACAACTGCCACATGATGGGAGGGGGGGGGAGGGGGTAGGCATGGGGCGTTACACAGAGGCTGATGACACTTTGCCCTGAATGGGCAGTGTCTCTCTTTTAAGGGTCTTGCCAAAAGTAAAAGGACTATTTGATCAATAGAACTGTGTTGTATAGAAAATCTGTAATTTATCGTTTTTAACAAAGACATAAAATGATGATCAATAATTTGCCTTTTGTCTTGCATGCATAGTTTGGAACATGTTTGATGTCTCAGATAAAATAAATCCTGTTTTTGTAAAAACTCTTGGTGGTTACCACTCTAAAATATTGGTAGTGTACGTACATACATACATACATACATACATACATACATACATACATACATACATACTTGTTTCATACAATGCTGTGTTTCTATGAGGTATTTCTCAAGTGTGCAGTTATGCTTTTAGATTTGTCTTGTACTCTCACCTGTCCTCGATACAGTAAGATATCCTGACAAGGCCACAGAGGTCAGGGCTTGGTTTAAGTGTTAGACCCCGTTCACATTGAGCGAGTTATCGCGCGGCAAATTACCGCGCTCCAATGCAATCCAATGGGGCAAAGGGTCCTGCTGTCGCGTGTCGTGTGTCGCTACAGCAGGACCCTTTTTCGGAGCGGATTTAGCCGCAATTCAAGCTTGCTCAATGCAAGCTTGAACGCGACATCGTGCGGCAAGTCTCGCGCAATATGCAAATCGCGCGACAAACGTGCGATTTGCATATCGCGCAGTGGGAATGGGGCCTTAGGTTTAGCTTTAGCAGCATAAGCTATCTACAAAAAGCCTAAAAAAAAAAAAAAAGCTAGAAATGTTTATTTTATTGCATATAGCATACCTAACCTGCCCAGATGCCTTTTGCATTACAGAAACCAACTTTCTTTCAGCATGGAGCATGGATTGTGCAAACAATAATTTCATTAAGCCATGATATGTGAATAAGAAACATGTAACAAATATAAAATAGGTGTTATCCCAATTTGGCTGCAAAAGTGGGAATAAACTTCCACTTTTAAAAAGGGTCAGGTCTTATATTAAGGTTGAGCATAAAGTAATCACTTTGTATTTCTTTTTTATGCTAACATTTTGTTTATATTATTATTATGATCCAGTTCTTGTCAGATTTTATTGTGTTCATTTAGTTTTTGATAGCACACACAGAAATCCTGGTTTAAATTTATTTAACCAGAAAAAAGGTACTGCAGTGAGTGTGGGCAAATGCCATATAAATGATGGTCATGAAAAACAGCTGTTCCCCCCCAAGAAATCTACTGTTAGACTCCAGTCCTTTAGGAAGTGTAAATAACAGCACTACCAGGTTCTTCTGTTTTTAGACAGGTTCACACCATTTTCCGGACAAGAAGATCTGGAACGCGGTGCATTGCGTTTTGCTGCGCTTTTTAAAATGTAAAATGGCCTTGCAGGTTTGTTCCAGTGTGTTTTGAATGCATTCCCGTGCATTCCTGACCAGAGAAAACGAGACCAGCAGTATTATCTTTTTTGGTGTGAACAGAGCCCAGAAATACCATGGGGATACATTGGGATGCTTTTTTGGTCCATTAGTAGCTGTAAGATTCAGGGACATGGGGACAGTGGTAAATTCTACAAAAGAAAATTGCCATACTAACAGGACATAGTTAAGAGCTGCTTTCTAGAGCTTTTTAAATAGCAATTCCCCCAAGTGATGTGTCCAACTGATAAAGTAGTAATAAACTCAAACATTTCTTAGTCATCATGTATTTCAGTATTTCTTAGTCATCATGTTTCCAAACAGCTCCATCTCTCTCAGCTCATCTTCCCTTAATTTCCTGTTTAGTACAAGATCCCAAGGTAGAGCCCAGACTCCAGCAGCTGCCCATCTATTAGCTTTGAGAAGGAAGGGGGGGAGGGGAGAGGAGTGTCTTGCCGTGCTGTGCCTGTGTATTTGTGGAGACACACACAGCTTACTTAAAGTTGTGTTCCGTCGTATACCATTTGTCGGTGGCAGGAAAAGGGTTAAACAGTTTTCTGGATAGGCACACTCTCCACACTAGGACAAGCAGGAATCTTGGTAAATGTCTTTTATTGGTTGTAGTTGTTGATTCAACAGTCTCTTACTTAAAACAGTGCCCTAAATTAGACCTGCCTGCTTAATGTTAAAGAGGAACGTTACCCATTTCTTCAAAATAATAACAAATACACCTATAAATATGTTTAGTAAAGACCATCTACAAACACATACTTCTAGCTAATTGCCAGCTTCCTATTTCTTTGCATACCTTATCTTTTCCTCCCCAGTTTTCTGACAGTGGCCATTTTTTTTTTTAACTAAGGGAAGATTACTAGATCTCTCTTTACTCCTGTGACTAGCACATGTTATCCATGAACATCATTTTTGGGGAGGAAATTGCCTTTCCCTGAGATCTTATGAGATTAAAGATGATATTTCCCAGCAATGGTCTGCTGATGTAACTTTCCTAGGATGCATCACTTGGACACGCTTACCTCATTTTCTCCAAAGCAAACCAACAAGTGGAAAACAAGATATTGTAAGTTAAAGAAAAATATGTTTAATGAATGTAAGATTTCATATCGGCATGCAGAGCTGCATGATGTGATTTCTAGTGGAAGAGGATTAAGGTCCACTTTAACTGAAAAGGTGAAACATGCTTTTTGTAATTTGTGTTTTCCTATTCCATGATATTTAAATGTTAAGAGTTAAATTCTTTAAAATACATTGAAGTTGGCTAAAATTGTACATTTGTGTGTTATACTCCTTTTTTTAAACAGAATGTGCAGGTTCAAGAGTTCTAGGTATCTGTTTACTTAACTGTATTTTTCCTAATGAATCTATTCTCTTCAATCTATTAGAAAGAAAAGGAAAAGAAAAGGGAAGAGAAGAAAAAGGAGAGAGAGCCTGAAAAACAGGTGAAATCTGCCGGTGTGGAGAAGGTAAGAATGAATGCTTTTATTGGAGGAGTCCTAGTTTCTGCAGCCTGGTGGCATTCTTGTTCTCTGTACAGAAGGCTGGTGGGTTCATGCTGTGTTGAATTCTCAGGTACAGAAAAAGGGAAAGATTAAATGCTCAGGCTCTGAAGATTCTCAGTATGCTAGCTAATAGTGTGTTTACACTATTTATAGAAAAACAAAATAGCATAGAACCGTGTTATATGTTCTTCATAAGCCATTCCTGTTCCATATTAACATATTACTCTATTCTTCTTTTTTTTTTTAAATCAATTCGGAATTCCTCTGCTTGAACTGTCAATTCCTTTACAGGAATGTCAGTATTTCAAAAAAAAAAGTTTGTCCAAAATAAATTAATTGCAGCTCCTGATTTGCATGCTTTCCAGGCGAAAGGTTGTATGCATATTATTATTCCCATAAAAGTATACTGTGTTAGAGATTGGGGGGGGGGATTCACCTGTTTGTCCCTCCAGTCAGCGCTGGAGGAGAGGAGGAGAGGGGAGAAGGGGAATCCCTTCGGGGAGCGATGACTGACCGCTCTCTGCAGGGAGATGATCGTTAAGTTAGCGAGCAACGAAATGTTTTCGCCCACTTCCCGATCAATAGAGACGACCTGTGACAGTTTCATTGTCGCACGTCGGCTCTAATTATGAGGATGAGTGAAAATCACTCACCTCATAGTTCTCCTTTTAAATGTCTTTGAATTTAACATAAAACTCTTGTATATCTTGTGCATATACAGTGAGGAAAATAACTGATCACCTGCCCACTTACAAAGAAATGAAAGGTCTATAATATTTTCATCATAGGTGTATTTTAAATGATCGAGACAGAATGTCAACCAAAAATCCAGAAAAAACACATGGTACAAATGTTATAAATTGAGTTGCAGTTCAGTGAGTAAAATCAGTATTTGACCCCCAAGCAAAACATAACTTCTTACTTGGTGGAGAAACCCTTGTTGGCAAGCACAGATGTAAGATGTTTCTTGTAGTTGCTTACCAGGTTTGCACACGTCTCAGGAGGGATTTTGGTCCACTCTTCTTTACAGATCTTCTTTAAATCCTTAAGGTTTCTTGGCTGTCGCTTGGCAATTCGAAGTATCAGCTCACTCCATACATTTTCTATAGTATTAAGGTCTGGAGACTGGCCAGGCCACTCCATGATCTTAATATGCTTTTTCTTGAGCCACTGCTTTGTTGCCTTGGCGGTGTTTTGGACTCGCTCACAAATTTAGATCGGATCAAAAGGTTCCGTACTTATATCTGCCGCCTGGCCTGATTATATATATAGAGTGTACACTCTGAGAGAAAATACCACGCTGACACCAGTTGTTCAGTGTATAAGATACTTCTCCTTTATTGTTCTCCTTTTCATATAGTTTTATTTAACAGGTGAACGTGTATATTTGAGTGTAGCATTGCAGAAAAGTATTTTAGTTTATATATTCTAGCTTATCATTGGTTACATCCATTTATGCATAACTTCCTGCCAAGATGTTTATAGATGTTTATATCTTTCGTCTTGGGTGCGTTGTCTGAAGAGGAGGCGCCAACTTGGTTCCTATTTCTACTGCGTACTTCGGATCTGGGGGGGGTTCTGAGTAAGGTTTTGAGTAAGGAGTGCAAAGAAGAGCAGAAAGAAAATTAGTATATATATTACAATTGATCTATTGTGATAGGCATTTTGTCATAATCATACTTAACCACTTCCATTACAGCGGTATGTTTTGGGTCATTATCATGCTCCAAGACCCATTCACGACCCATCTTCAGTTTTCTGGCTGAGGGAAGGAGGTTCTCATCCAAGATTTTACAATACATGGCCCCGTCCATTGGCCCCTCAATGCGGCAAAGTTGGCCTGTACCTATAGCCGAGAAACAGCCCCGAAGCATAATGTTTCCACCTCCATGCGTTACTGTAGGGATGGTGTTCTTAGGGTCATAGTCTGCATTTTTCTTCCTCCAAACACGGCGAGTCGAGTTAATGCCAAATAGCTCAATTTTGGTCTCATCTGACCGCAGCACTTTCTCCCAATCCTCTGAATCGTTTAGATCAGCGGTTTTCAACCTGTGGGTCGGGACCCCTTCGGGGGTCGAATGACAATTTGCCAGGGGTCGCCGGGAGTCTCCCACTATTAGATAGCTATTAGATTATCATCATTATTATTAATAATAAAAGCTGACACCCTCGGCTTGTGTTATATGGTTTGCCATTTTAGCTGTTACAACAGTGGTTCTCAACCTGTGGGTCGCTGTGTGATTTCTGCTGTGCTCGGTGGGAGTCCTCCTCAGCCCTCTCCTAGCACAGCAGTGTCAGTTCTCCCGCCACGCCACCAGATGTCGCTGCAGCAGCCACGTCAACCCTAAATTTTACCGTTGGGGGTCACCACAACTTGGCAAATGTTACCAAGGGGTCCCGGCCCTAGAAAGGTTGAGAACCACTGGTTTAGATGTTCATTGTCAAACGTCAGACGGGCCTGTACATGTGCCTTCTTGAGGAGGAGGACCTTGCCGGTGCTGCAGGGTCTCCATCAATGGCGGTGTATTCTGTTACCAATGGTTTGTTTGGTGACGGTGGTCCCTACTGCCTTGAGATCATTCACAAGCTCCTCCTATGTAGTGCTGGGCTGATCCCTCACTTTTCTCATGACCATCCTTACCCCATGAGGCGAAATCTTGCATGGAGCTTCAGACCGTGGCGATTGATGGTTATTTTGTATTCCTTCCATTTACAAATAATCACTCTAATAGTAGTTTCCTTCTCACCAAGCTTCTTGACGATAGCCTTGTAGCCCATTCCAGCCTTGTGCAGGTCTACAACCTTGTCCCTAACATCCTTTGACAGCCTTGGTCTTGCCCATGGTGGTGAGGTTTGAATGGAAGGAAGGGATTCTGTGGACAGGTGTCTTTTATATACATAACGAGTTGTCGTTAGCTCCTTCTTAAATTGACAGGACTAATCTGTGTACCACATAGCCAGTCTGTGGAAGCCAGAATTATTGTTGGTTGGTAGGGGATCAAATACTTATTTTACTCACTGAACTGCAACTCAATTTATAACATTTGTATCATGTGGGTTTTTTTCTGGATTGTTGGTTGATATTCTGTCTCTATCATTTAAAATACACCTATGATAAAAATTATAGACCTTCCATTTCTTTGTAAGTAACCTACAAAATCTGCAGAGGATCAAATAATTATTTCCTTTACTGTATATAAAGCAAACCATTGTCTCCAAGCAAAGTAACAGGTTTGCTTTAATGCTCCCATTCCCAGCAGCAAGTACCCAACTTGCTTTGTTCCCCCATCACTTTGTTCAGCTGCCAGTTTGAAGGGATGGAACCCCTCTTACTCTGGTCGGAATGTACTCAGGGCTGAACATTCTCTTCTTGCCCCCTTGTGACAGCGCTGTGTCAATCACTAAGCATCAGCACTGTTACATGCAAGGAAGGGGCGCAAATCACATGCACTTCCATACACAGAAGTGCTGGTTATTTTTGTTGCTCATGTTGGCAGGGGTGATGAGCGTGCATTTCTGGAGGGCAATAAAGCAAATTTGTTCTATTGGCCAGCATGGGAAAAGCAAAAGATTGGTGTAATGACTCGTCTATTGGTTATGGGGGATAAAGCAATCCTGCAATAATCACAAATCACTGAAACACACTTTATTTTTTCATGTGGCTGTGATGTCTATAGCAACCAGGTTCCAGGAGTAAATGAAAAAATAATTATGAACGTTTTTCTTATAATAGCATTGTTACTGTTCCTTTATACTAAGGTTTGATAATAAGCAACACAATAGTTATTGTTAAGCACAAAAGTGGTCAGATAGGTGTTTGTTATGGACATTCTCAATTCACCATTGTTTTCGAACATACATTTGCATTGTGATGTGTTTGCCTGGCAGTGTAGAATATATTGCCTCAAACTACATGTAAACCTGTTCAAGTTCAGTTTGTCCATGATTTTATTTTATTTTTTTGCTTTTGTACTATGTTCATGGTTAATATTAGAGAAACCCCATTGTATACTGTTAGTAAACCACAGTCCTGAAGTGTATTACGCTTACTGCAAACCTATGAATTTTTTATGTAGTGTTTGAATAGCATTCAGTATTAACTCTGCCCTGGCTAACCCACTTGTAATGGATCTTCTGCAGCTTTGTACAAGTTCCAGGCACTAGGCTGCTCCCCCTTCTCCTGCTCCTTTACGAATTACACAACAAACTGAAAGTTGAAATTGAAAAAGTTTTCCAGTTCTGTACATTGGTTGTTGCTGTATTTGAGCATTCATTTTGTACTTAATTTAGCTGCAGCCTTGGCTTGATAGAATCTTCTTGGATACAGAAGATCCGGTTATGGAGCTTATCGATTTGGCTTTGCTTTCTTTGCAACCATCTTTTAATGCATATTTAAAGGTTAGGCGCATTGTTAATAGTTGTTGGTGAAAAGTCTGTGTGAGATTTGATGGAGCTTTTCAGTAGCATTGAAGTGTGAAAAAGTAGATTGGATAATTTTTCTCTTAGCCTGTTAAGCATTAAGTCTGTATCATATGTATCTCTGTTCATTGTTACAAACTCATGGGTAGAAGTACAGATATTAGAAATCATGAGAATGCAGTCTTGTGATGACCATACCCACATATTTTTTTATGCAGTTAATGGTTTGATCTGATTTTTATCATCAACTGTATGAAATGATCAGTTAATAGAGCATACACTTCCAGTACGTTTGCCTGCCTTGATCCTATAATTTTTTAATTATAAGTTATAAAGTAAACAGGAATCCAAAGCTTCAGTATAAATAATTTGCTGCTTACAACACGTGATCGGTTTGAGCTTAATAATCCATGTGATCACTTCAATTATCGCTCAGTTGTATTGTTACAAGTATAGCTGACATCACACAAAAAACGCCGTTTTACAATGGTATGATCTTGCATCTTAAAAACAGATTTGTTATTTTGAATTATACTTGTCCTGTTCTCTTTTACTCCTTGAGATTGAGAAAATTAATTTATCCTTGTTTATTAAATGGCATATTAGAAAAATTGTCCAGACCTTAATAACAATTATTGTAAATAGTTAATTATTGGAAAGGATTTACAAAATATACCAGCATTCAAAACAGGATGAAAACCTGCTTTTGTCCAGATCTGCTCTGCCTCCAGCCCTGTGACGCAATGCTGAAGGTTGTAAGCAAGGATTATGTTGTAAAAGTGGAACTGATGACTGAAAGGCGGGTGCTCTAATATTAGGAGTATATTATCACTCTGTTTGCCTGAGGAAGGGGCCGCATGGTCCCGAATACGGAAAATTGTATACTTACCTTTTGGTAATTTTCCTTTCCTGGTGCCTTGACATGGCAGCATACCTGTGGTTGAAGCCCCTCCCCTTCAACCCCCAGGACCAGTATCTCTATAAATTGATTGGCTTCTGCTCCCTTCTCCCTTCTAGTAAATAGACCAAGACCAAATGGACCGCATTGGGTGGGAGACATGTATGCTGCCATGTCAAGGCACCAGGAAAGGAAAATTACCGAAAGGTAAGTATACAATTTTCCGTATTCCTGGTGCTGACATGGCAGCATACCTGTGGTTCAATAACTAGCCACACGGGAGGGGAATGCAACAAAAAAATTATTACAGAGAGGTAGAAGCCAACAACATTTTCTCTCTCTTTAGTGGTCAAAACAGCCAGATCCACTCTATAATGACGCATGAACGTAGAAAAAGTGGACCACGTGGCTGCTTTGCAGATTGTTTCCGGCGAGACTCTCGCAAAGGCCGCACAAGAAGTCGATAAACTCCTAGTTGAATGAGCCGTAATCGTGGCCGGTGCCTGCATGCCACTAGCCCTGTAGGCAAGACGAATGATACTTGTAATCCAATTAGCAATGGAACACGTGGAAGCCGACTGGCTCTTTCTGGCCCCTTCTGGAAAGACAAAGAGCCGTGGAGACTTCCGGAATGACTCGGTAAGGTCCACATAAAGTTTGAGGGCACTTGCCACATCCAACTCGTGCAGTGTATGAGATTCACCCTCCTTGTTGAAAACTGGAAGGACCCACTCCTGACTGCAGTAAAAGGCAGAAAACACTTTAGGTATAAATTCCTGGATAGGCCGCAGTACCACTTTATCCGGCTAGAAGTAGATGTACGGGGCGCCTACCCCCAAGGCCTGGATCTCTGACACCCGCTTAGCTGAAGTTATTGCCACCAGAATAACCGTCTTCAAGGTGAGATTCCGGATCGTGCAGGTTTCAGTCGGACTGAAAGGGGAATGTGCAAGGGCGTCCAATACCAGCGACGGATCCCATTGGGGATAAAAGTTCTTTTTGGGAGGTCTCGGTCTGATGACCGCCTTTAGAAACTTCCTAACTAACGGATCACACGCCCACCTGGTATTGGTCAAAGCTGAGATTGCCGAAATCTGGACCTTTTAGCGTGTTCCAAGCCAGCCCAAGATCCAGACCAGTCTGAAGGAACTCTAGGACATGGGGTAGTTCCGGAAGTAATGGATCGAAACCCGCTGATGAGGTGAAATCACTAAATCTCTTCCAAACTCTAGTGTAGGTCTGATTTGTATTCTTCTTCCTAGAAGCGAGATGAGTATCCATTACTCTAGAAGAACAACCTAACGATGCCAGTTTAACCCTCAACTTCCAGGCCTTTTAACTTCAGAGCTTCTGGATGCGAGTGCTGAATCTGCCCTTGAACAAGAAGGAGCGGGACAAGAGTAGTGGGATCCTCTACTGCCAGGAGAGACAGTGTGTACCATGGTCGCCTCGGCCAACAAGGAGTTATGGTCAGGATCGTAACCCTCCATCACTAGCCGCTGTAGAAACCTCAGGATCAGAGGGACTGGGGGAAAGGCATATCCCAGGCTGAAGTCCCAGGGCTGAACCAGCACGTCCACTCCCTGCATCTCCTTGCAAGCGTATCTGGTGAAGAAACGAGACACCTTTGCATTGAGCAGGGTCGCGAACAAGTCCACCTGGGGACGGCCCCATCTCTGGCAAATCAAGCGAAACACTTGATCGTTGAGTGACCACTCGTTGTCGATCATCTGTCTGGAAAGATGATTTGCTTGTACATTGTGCCAACCCGGAATATGAATTGCACTGATCCTCCTGAGATGGTGTTCCGCCCAAGACATAATGGGGGACACTTCGAGTAAAAGGGAGGAGCTGTGCGTTCCCCCTTGATTCTTCACGTAGGAGACCGCAGCTCGATTGTCCATTTGGAGCAGAACTGACTTCCCCTGAATGGATGTTGCAAAAGCCCTCAGAGCCAACCAGGCTGCCCGGAGCTCGAGCACATTCGAGACAATATGATTGGTGGCACCTCGCCACTGACCCTGGGCCACTGCTTCCCCTGAATGAGCACCCCATCCGTGGTGACTTGTGTCTGTGGTAACTATGGGCCCTAGGGTTCCCGAATTCAGTAGATTGGCCTCGCGAGTTCACCACCAAAGACTCTGCTTCATCTGACTCGTGACTACTATAGTCTGAGAGAGAGAGACGACTATTGCTGACTATTGACGACTATTCCGTTGCTCGGAATTTTCGTTTATGTGTAAAACGGAATTGGAGGTAGCTTTTTGAAAACCCATGAATGTCCCCGTGAAACAGTGGTGGTCACCCAAACATCGGAAACATGTTGAGCCCAAATCTGCTGAAAGGCGGTTAGCCGAGCTCCGACCTCGCAGACCTGGACCGAACCCCTGTCAAAAAGACTTCTGCTGTTGCAACGGTTGGTAGGACCTCGCATCCCTGAACTTCTGCGGGAAGGATGTCTTAGAGAAGGATTTTCTCTTCCTGGTCCTAGCCTGCGGAATAAGGCCACTCTTCCTGCCAGTAACTATGGTAATTGCTGTGTCCAGTTTCTCTCCAAAGAGAGCTTTTCCATCAAAGGGAATGCAACACCATGACTGCTTGGACGTGGGGTCCACCTGCCAAGACTTGAGCCACAGAGCTCTCTTCGCTATGATGGAGTGTAGCATTGCCCTGGAGGAACAACAAATTGAATCGATTGCCGTTCCCGTGACAAAATCCGCAGACAATTTTATCTCATCCAGGGCCGGAATTATTTCTTCAGGTGTCAAACCGTCTTGTAATGCGGATTCTAGATTATCCGTCCATACTCTCACTGCCCTGGACACCGAGGTAAGGGCCACCATGGGCTTACAGGCTGCTCCCAACGCCAAGTAGGCCTTTTTCAAATCCTGATCGATACAGCGATCTAAGACGTCTCGGAAGGACACTACATCCTCCAATGGTAAGGTCGTATTCCTGGCTAACCTCATAATGGAGGCATCCACCACTGAAAAGGCATCACAGATGGCTGCATCTGAATCAAGAAGAGGGTAAAGCTTGGACAGTCTATTCTGGAAAGGAATTCACTTGTCAACCTTTTTCCACTCCTCAAATATCATATTTCTTATCTCGTCCATCAGAGGGAAAGATATAATCTTCATTAACTGTGGAAAAAATGTCCCCCTTTTCTCGGGTGAGCCAGGTTATTCCTCCCAACTGATAGCCTGCTTGACTGCAGACACAAAGGGCTCGACCAAACTGAAATCAAAAACTGCAGCCTCTGAATCCTCTGGGACTTCTTCGTCCTCCTCACCGGAGAGGGCCTGGTCCCTTCCTGGCAGGGGCCCTTTGTTCGGCTCCTTAGAAGCCGCTGCATAAGTACTCGGCCCCTCCCAGGTAGCGGCAAACTCTGAGTCTTGCACCACTTGTTTCATGAGGCCCACTACATCCTCTTTCTGTTGATCGGAATCTCGTGTAGCCTCCTTAAAGCAGGATGCGCAAACCCGTTTTCCAGGCAAGGGCGGGCTTCTGCAAATCCAACAGCATTCAGACCCAGGCCTAGATCTTATCTTAGGAGAAGGGGAACGATGGCGTGTAAACCTGGAATGCCTTGCAGAGTACTGAGAGGAAGAATGACGCCCATGCCTTCTGGACTGTCGCTGGTATCTTTCCGTGAACGGCTCTCAGGGCTGTAATAAAAAAATATCACCCATTAGAGATCTCCAGCATAATAGCTCCAAATGCAATACTTACCAAACACTTCCTACCTAGTGACATGTTGGGCACCTTTCATTTGATTCGGCTCATCCATTGCCGCACGCAGCTGTGTGGTCAGCAAACAAGCAAAAGTCAATGTATGAAATCACGGATTCAATACACAGTTTACAATCAGGCACACGAGAAAGCTAATCTAACACTAATACCTACAATAATTTACAAGCAGCACAATTGCATTATATATATAATATAGATATATATAGATATATCTATATATCTATATAGATATAAATATATATCTGACTGAAAATCAGCAGGAGGGGCGCAATCTTCACACCAGACAGAGCATCAGCAGAGCATCTATAGGGCATCCCTCAGCTGCTTTAAATAGGGACAAAATGGTGGAAAACTCCTCCTCTTAGAACTGTGGGCAAACAAGCAATTTTGCCCTCAAACAAGGTGGCCGCCAGCGCTTCGGTGAACCCACTGCGCATGTGCTGAACCCGCGCATGCGCAGTAGCAACGTCAGAACGCCGACAGAAGAAAACACACCCGTAGTACGCACGCGAAGCGCCCACCATCATACACGGCAGGTACGCTCTGCCCAACAATCCAACAGCTACAGGGGGAACCCTGCAAAGGTATGGAGACCGACAGCCCGGCTAGGGAAAAAAAACTCAAGGATGCAGACCACACAGCCATGAGTCCCCCTGAGATAACGGAATCCCAGACTGAAAAGGATACCCAAAACCACAGTCTTCCACACCTTATGTGGCGCCTTTAGCAGCCCAAGCGTGCGGAACTCATCCAGAGGAGCCAGTGCTGCATGGCCAGACCCCGTTGGAGTCTTAGTAGGAGCAAATATCCATGTACACCTGGTCCTGCGGATCTTGGGACAAAAAACAAGAAGGGAGCAGAAGCCAATCAATTTATAGAGATATTAGTCCTGGGGGTTTAAGGGGGAGGAGCTTCAACCACAGGTATGCTGCCATGTCGGCACCAGGAAACATTGCTTAGACGTGTCATCACTTGGGTCAATAAAACCTTGTTGACTTAATATTAGTGCCAGTCACTTTTTCTATTTTTGTACGTTTTGGCGGAGGCATCCGTTGTTACTGCTGCATCCGCTCTGCTGCATTAGGGATTCTCCGGTCAGGAGTGCGATGGGATACATGGACTTTTATCTAATATTAGGAGGGGCTACTGATGTGAAAGTGG